TATTTCCATCTCTTTTTGTCTTTATGCATGTATCTTCCTCTCTGGTCTTTCAGGCCTCATTTCTCCACAGCTCTAAACCTCAGGGGGTCTCCTGTTTCTGGCCTCAATCCCCATAGGGTGCCCCTGCTCCCCATCTCTCTCTGCCTCATTTCTCCTGCACCATCTGCTGACACCCTGCAGGCACAGACTCTGCTTGGCCAAGCAGCCCCATGAGGGGAGACACAGGCCTTCCAGCTTCCTCCCCACCATGGCACCCTGGGAGGGTACAGGATAGTCATTGCTAGGATGGGGGGGGGGGCAGCAGGAGACAAGAATCAGGAAACTTGGAACAGAGAACAGTGGTTAAAGAGAAGCAGACAAGTAGACACCCACAGACAAGACAGGCAAACTCTCAGAAAGAAGATAGTAAAAGAAAAAGGAGAAAGTTTAATGATAAGCAAAGAGACTGATCCACAGGAAGAGAGAGACCAACAGAAATGAGCAAAGAGGCATAAAGCAATAAGGAGAAAAGAGAAGAGAAAAGACTGCCTAGGGGACAGGACAGAAAGACAGACAAACTGAGTGTAGGCTTAGAGAAAAGGAGAAAGGGGAGATTTGCATCAGAGAGAGAGAGAAGGATAGAGAGAGATAGACACACAACAGAGAAGGAAAGGCAGGGGGAGAGGAAGAGAGAGGGAAAGGGAGGAAAAGAGAGACTTTCAGAGGCAGAAGAGGGGTGGGGGGAAGAGAGCTTGCTAAATTTAGAACCAGGCACAGAGAAGGGAAATGGAGATGCTGCAGAGTGTTGAAAGGCTGGGAATGAGGCTTGTCTCTTTTGGGTCCCCTGGGGTAAGGGTGGGGCATGGCACAAGGCTGCCTGGGAGGGGCTGGGTATCAGAGGAGGGGGCAGGATGCTTTTCTGTCTGAAGTTTCCAGAAGCTCTGATCATGGCAGCTGGAGAGGGCTTGTGTGGCCACCCTCGTGGCCCAGTTGCCTTGTTCTAGACCTTGGAAGACTGCAGAGGACTCCAACAGGGCTGGGGCTCATTGGAGGCCAGGCAGGGATCCAGGCATCTACCTGCTCCTGCCTCTCCTCTCTCCAGTCCTCTGTCCACCCACTGTGTCTCCCTAGAGGAGGTGTGAGGGAGGGGTGCACTCCTCACAGGCCTTTCAGGCTCCTCCTCCCTTCCTCCCCCATGACCATCTCTCAATGTCTCCATCTCTCAGTTTGTATGTATTATCTCTCCCCTCCCCTGCCCCCTTCTTCCCCTTTGTCTGTATATCTCTTTGTCTCTCTGTATATTTCTCTCTATTTCTTTCTTTCTCTCCAGGTCTGTTTCTCTCTCCTCTTCCGTCACTCTCTTCTCTCTCTTCCTGTCTTTCTCTGTTGGTCTCCCACACTCCACTCAGTCCTTCTTGGTCCTTGGTTTCTTTTCCTGTCTCATACTATCTCTTCTCCACTGCTTCTCCCTTCCTACTTTCCAGCCTCTCCCCTCCATCCTCCCTCCCTTCCTCAGGGGAATGACCCCCAGGCTGTCTCTAGTCAAGGAGAGACTCCCTCCCAACCCAGCTTCTCCCAGAGGTGTCCAGCAATCTCAGACCCCTTTCCCTCTCCACTCCTTGAATGGAGTCTTTCCCAGGACCCAGAGGGCGCCAGGAATGTGGGGCAGAGAGCAAGGAGGACAGCCAGAGGCCAGGAAGCTGGGACCCTGGTCTCCCCCAGACTTGTCATCTCTTTCCAGCTCTGGTCCAGAACTCACGCCACCACTTAATTCCTTGCCCTTCCTAGGGCCTCTGGGCCTTGATTTGTCCTCTGCAGAATGGGCAGACTGACCTCTGTCCTGCTCCCTTACAGTCCCAGGGGAGTGTGTGCTCATGAATGGTAATAGTATGATTAATGTGCATGAATCAGTGGTTTGTGTTGCAGGGAGATGAGGGTGCTGGGACCTGGGACTGGGTCCTAAGACTTCCTTGTCACAGACAGATGTTCTGTGGCAGAGGAAGAGCCTGGAAGTGGAGATTGTACTAATCTGTGTGATTCAGTGGTGACCGTGAGACCACTCAAGGCTATAGTTTAGTGTGTGACTGTGGGATGATGGCGTGTTCCTCTGTGTGTGTCTGTGTGACTGCATGTGATGGTGAGAGATGGTATTACCTGTGTGACACGCATATGAGTGTATGTGACTTTTGAGTGGGGTGGGATTACGGTATGATCACTCACTTAGTGTGACTGAGTGAGGACAACAGAGTGTGTCTCAGTAACAGTTGGGGAATGTGTGTTATTGGGATGTGCCTGTGGACTCTCTGTGATTGCGTGAAGTGAGGATGTGAGAGGGTTCATGAGTATGGTCATATAACATTGTGTGTAACTTTAAGCTTTTTCATGGAAGAAGATTGTGGGACTGCATGAATAACCACATAACTGTGTATATGTATTTCATGGACAACTATTTCTTAAGCCTATGCTCTGGACCAAATACCACAGTGAGGTGTTCATAGGACCCCAGACCCTACCCATATATAAACTACTCCTAACTTTTTTTTTTTGCAGTTTTGGCTAGAGCTGGGCTCGAACCCACCACCCCTGGTATATGGGGCCAGCACCCTACTCCTTAAGCCACAGGTGCTGCCCTGCTCCTAACTTTTAATCCCAGACCAGGGGTGTTTGAGATGACCTGGCTCTGTCCTCCTCAGGGCACAACAGACCAGCAAGGGAATCAGTGTTTGTGATATAATCTAGGGATTGTGTAAATGTGTGTGTGATTGGTCATGTTATAAGGCCTGTGGGAAACTGTGATTGTGTTGGTGTAGGAGCCCACAGCACAAGATATGTGGCTGTGTGTCACTGTGCATGACTGTCAAACTGTGGGTAAGAGACTGTGGCTTTTTGGATGTGATTGTGGAATTGTACAACCGTGGTTGAATGTGTGACTCTGTGAGCAACAGTGTGTTCAATTCTGCAGTTGTGCCCCTGTGTGGCTCAGCATATGGGCTTGTGTGCGATACTGTGTGAATGAATGAGTGATTGAAGCTCTGGGTATGAGTGGCCAGATGGGAGTGGCTCTGTGACTACGGGGTTGTGGATAGGACAGGGACAGAGACTGTGTGCACTTGGTGGGGTGTCCAGAACTGGTCTTCCATCTGACCTTGAGTGACTGTGATATTCACACGACTACACTTCTGCTCTGCTCTGGCTCTGCCCCAGCTCCCCACTGCTGTTCCCTAGCCCGCCCTAGCCCCGCCCCCTCCCACCATCCCAGGCTGCCATCCCTGTTACCTCTCCCAGAGCCCAGATGAGGCAGTGGAGACTGCGGAGGCAAGAGTGGCTGGAGCGAGTGATCAGGAGCTGGACGGGGAACGGGGAACAGGTGAGGGCTCTCCCATTCCTGTCCATCCTCCCTGCCCCCTCTCCCTCAAGTCTCTAAGACTATCTCACTCTGTTTCTCAGCCTGTGCTTTCTTTGCTTTCTGTCTCTCTGTGCCCAGTCTGTTCTCATCTCCATCTGCCTGTCTCCTGATGTCTCTGTCTCCATGTCTCAATCTCTGTTTAGTGTCTAGATCACATCTCTCTCTTTCTGCACTCTCTGTGTTTCTATCTCCTTTTTGTCTCTTAGCCCACATTTTTGTCCCATCTTTCTTTGTCCTTTGGTCTCTGGTCAATTGCTGTGTGTCTTTCTGTTGCTCAGTCTGTGTTTTTCTATCTCATGTGTCTCTGACTCATGTCTGTCTTTCTGGGGCTTGGTCTGATTGTCCCAGCTCTGGCATTGCTCTTTCTCTACGTGGTGCAGTGAGGGTGGGTGTGGGTTAGGATAGGGTAGGGGTTAGATGGATTTCCAGGCATCTGGGTCCATGCACATCTAACTCTGGAGTCTGGAACCTCTTTAGTCCCTAAGTATTGGATGCTAAGAGAGAGTTGTCCCAAGGACTCTGGGTTTTATCTACATGGGGAAAATTGTATGAGGTCGGGTTTCTATTTGCATTTTGAAAATCCTTTGGTGGGGGTGTGGGATGGGAGAGCTGAGAAAGGGAAGGAGGAAGGGTGTGGAGAGTTAAGGGATAGGGTTCACCTTTTAGGGGTGGGACACAAATACAAGAGGGTCTTTACCTAACAAAAGCAACCACTGTAACCTGCTTCTGTGTGCCCTCAATGATTCCCCATCGATAAAAAAGAAAATCCTTTGGAGGGGGGGAAAGGCTGGATACGGTGGTTCACGCCTCTGGTTCACACCTGTAATCCTGGCCCTCTGGGAGGCCAAGGCAGGTGGACTGCCTGAGCTCAGTTGGAGATCAGCCTGAGCAAGGGTGAGACCCTGTCTCTAAAAATAGCCGGGCATTGGTACGGGCGCCTATAGTCCCAGCTACTCGGGAGGCTGAGGCAAGAGAATCCCTTGAGCCCAAGAGCTTGGGGTTGCTGTGAGCTATGACAGTACATCACTTTACCAAGGGTGAGAAAATGAGACTTTGTCTAAAAAAAAAAAAAAAGAAAGAAAGAAAAGAAAATCCTTTGAGCTCAGAAAGTGGGAACTCAGATGTGCGTTTCAAACTCCTCTCCTGCTTAGGCTGATGGTTTTTATTCTCTGGTCTCAAAGGCGGGCCCCAGGTTCCCAGAGACTCTAGGTCTAGCCCCCGGGTGACACTGACGCTTCCGCTGGAGAGCAGCTCTAGGGCAACCGCCCTGCTCAGCAAACACCCCCCTTCCTCCGCTGCTCCCCAGCAACAGTTGGGGGTGGCAGAATCGCGCATCTGATCTCGGCTCCACCCACCAGGAGGCCCCGCCCACCCTCAGCCCCTCCCCCCGCCCCAAATCATCATTCGTGTGCCTAGAAGCCACCAAAGGAGTTAATATGAAAGACCGAAAACCTTCAAGAAAATTGGGGGAATTCGAGTCCCCACGTATGAATCCTTCAGGAGGGGGTGATACTGGGGATGGAGTCTCAGGTCGGAGGACAGAGACGCTGACTTCGCCCTGGGACCCTTCAGGCCGGACTGCCCCTACGGGACCAGAGCCTTCGCCGCCCTCAGGATGCCTAACTCACCGCCCTTGAGGCTGCTGCTACGGCTATGGCTGTGGGGGCTGCTGCTCCGGAGGGCGGAGGTGAGGACTCCAGGAGCCACAGGAGTTCAAGAATGGGAGGGAGGTCTGAGGACGTTTTTAAGTTTTCTACTACAAAAAGAATTTTAAGACTGCTCCGCTCAAGTTTTTATCGTTGCTCCGGGCCCCTCATCTTTCCCCCACAAATCCACCAGATGAGTTCCAACCATACTCTCTCTCCACTTTTCTTCCTTTCTTCTTTCTTGTTTCCCTTTCTTTTCTTTTTTCTTTTTTTTTTGGCGGGGGGGGGGGAACAGAGTCTCACTCAATCGCCCTGGAGTTGAGTGCTGTGCCGTCATAGGTCACAGCAACCTCAAACTCTTGGGCTCAAGAGATTCTCTTGGCTCAGCCTCCTGAGTAGCTGGGACTACAGGCTCCCGCCACAACTCCTGGCTATTTTTAGACGGGAGTCTTGCTCTTGCTCAGACTGGTCTCCAATTCCTGAGCTCAATCAACCCACCCGCCTCAGCCTCGCAGAATGCTAGGATTCCCCCAATTTTTTTGAAGGTTTTCAGTCTTTCATATCAACTCCTTTGGTGGCTTCCAGGCGCACCCCAAGACTTCGAAGAAGTTTCCAAGACTCCCCAGCAAAAAGAGACAGCTCTTTGAAGTCTCTCTGGGGTGTTTCTGGCCCACACTACCAGAGCTTCCGGGGGGCGGGGGTTGGTCTGGGCGTTCTCCCTTCTCTCTTTTTGTAGACAGGCTCTGAGGGTCGCACGGCGGGGGAGCTGTACCAGCGCTGGGAACGGTACCGCAGGGAGTGCCAGGAGACCTTAGAGGCCACAGAGCCACCCTCAGGTGAGACCAGGAGTGGGGAGACAAAGGGAGAGGAGCTAGGGCTGAGAAAGATGGGCTTGGGAGAGGGCGTGAATGCGGAGAAATCGGTGGCTGATATGCGCAGGGTGGCAGAGGCCCAGGTGGGTTCTGGTCTTCGTGGGAATTGCCTAGACGAGTATGGTGGGAACTGAGATGGGACCACGATTAGTATGGGAGGCCTGGGAAGAAACTTGAAATGGGTGGAGGCTTGGGCTGGGCCTGCACTGAAGCGACCCGGAACGCAGCCAGGGTTTGAGGTGGAATCTGGAAAGAGTCTCTCTGCATGGGACGAATCAGAGGCTGGGATCTGCTGGTGGGAGGAGCCCGTGTGGGCGGGGCTTGAGGGCTGGCGGGAGGAGCCTGTGGCCCAGCCAGGACAGAACCCGCCCCTGGAGGGCAGGGCTAGAGCTGGGCCCGCTTGTGGAAGGTGGAGAGATGCTGGGCCCGAAACTCTGTTAGGTCCACCTGGCTTCTGGCCCTTGTACACACCCGCAGGCCTCGCCTGTAACGGGTCCTTCGATATGTATGTCTGCTGGGACTATGCTGCACCCAATGCCACTGCCCGTGCGTCCTGCCCCTGGTACCTGCCCTGGCATCACCACGGTGAGGTGCTCCTAGGACCCCAGATCCCTACCCATACACAAACTGCTCCTAACTTTTAATCCCAGACACCACATCCCTGAAGCTCACCTACAGCCCTCTCCTGGTCCTCTTTGTCCCCTGCTCCTTTCTTTCCGGCTGGGTTTCTCCTTCTGTCTGTCCAACCTTGGCTGTCTCAAATAACCCTGCTTTTCTGTCTCTGTTTCTGTCTATGGGACCACGGAGTTCTTATTTTCTTTTCCTGGATCTGTCTGTCTCTAGATGTCTTAGTCTTCCTGGCCTAACTAGCTTTATAGTCTTGGACAGTTATTTAACTTCTTTGTGCTTCAATTTTCCCATCTGTAGGCTTGTATGAATGTTACATTAATATATGTAAAATGATTTATAGGAGTTTATCATTATCATCATAATCATCACTTTGGCTCTCTTTCTGCCTTTGTCTCATAGTTTGGCTCTCTTTCTTCTCTCTCTGTGTGCCTCTGATCCACACCCTTGTTTCTCCTCCAGTGGCTACAGGCTTTGTCCTCCGCCATTGTGGCAGTGATGGCCACTGGGGACCTTGGAGAGACCATACCCAGTGTGAGGACCCAGAGAAGAATGGGACCTTTCAGGTGAGAAGAAACAAGGGATTTGGGTTAGGATGTTCAGGGAGAGGTGAAAAGGCAGCAACTTAGACCAAGCCTGCTCAGGACTCTGGGTTGCAAGTGATAGAAACCCAACTCAGACTTGCCTAAAGGAGAAAGAAAGAGAATGTATTGGCTTATTTGATGGAAAAATATAAGACAACAATGTGAGGCATTGTGAGATCCAGGTGCTCAAATAATGTAGTTGGGAATCTCTAACTTTCCCCATGCTGTGACTATGTTTTTCTCTGCACTAGCCTTATCTTCTCTGTGGGGTGGAAAAGATGGTTCCCATTAGCATCATGTTCACATCCTACCAACCAAGTAACACTGGGGGAAAACTGTCCTTTGTTCTCAATAACTCTGTCATAATGTCCCAGGATTGATGTGTGGGAGGGGTATTGGGGGGTGTTAGGTAGAATGCTCTGGCTGGGTGGTCATATGTCTACCTGGAGCTGAAGGATGATTTCAGTCCCACTCAAACAAGGGTATGTGGTTCCCCAAGAGAAAATTAGGGTGCCTGGTAGAAAAAAAGAGTAAATGTCCTTCCAGCCCCTCTCTGAGCCTGGGGGAAGATCTGAGCCTTGTTTCTATGCCCTCCTTGCCCCCACCAGGACCAAAAGCTGATCTTGGAGCGGCTACAGGTCATGTATACCATCGGCTATTCCCTGTCCCTTGCCACGCTGCTGTTAGCCCTGCTCATCTTGAGTTTCTTCAGGTGGGACCCCCAGCCCTGAGTGGTGGCAGCAGAGACATGGGCCTGCTCATCCAGTAAGGTGGGGTGGTCAGACTCCACCTACTCCAAGCATCCACTGGTGCTTGTGTGAAAGCTGGAGGTAGTTAAAGGGGCTCCATATGTGACTGAGGACAGCTCTCCAGACTGCCTCCCAAATCCCGTAGGCGGCTGCGCTGCACTCGAAACTACATCCACATCAACTTGTTCACGTCTTTCATGCTGCGGGCAGCAGCCATCCTCACCAGAGACCGTCTGCTACCTCCACCCCAACCCTCCTTGGGGGACCAGGCCCCTACCTTGTGGAATCAGGTGTGCATCCTCCGTCTGTCTCTCCAGAGGGGAATCTGCCTCCCCTGGTGGGACTAGAAAGGTTCCAATTCAATGACTACCTCCTATACTATCAATAGTTTATCTCTCATGAGCCCTCCAGAATACATTTGGAAGGGGACTTTCCCAACTTAGATTCCCCATCACTGAATTTTCCCAGTCCATCCTCCCCCTTTTTTGAGATAGAGTCTCACTATGTTGCCCTCCGTAGAGTGCTGTGGTGTCAAGCAACCTCAAACTTTTGGGCTTAAGCAGTTCTCTTGCCTCACCTTCTCAAGTAGCTGGGACTACATGCACCAGCCACAACACCCAGCTATTTTTTTGTTACAATTGTCATTGTTGTCTAGCAGGCCTGGGACTAGTTTCAAACCTGCCTGCATCAGTGTATATGGCTGGTGCCCTAACCACTGAGTTATAGGCGTCGAGCCGCATCTCCTTTTCTTGGAACTTTCCACCTCCTCTTTCATTATCTCATTCACCATACATCTTTTCTACTAATGAGAGAATCCAGCTACTGGAGGTGACAGGATGGGAGAAATTAACTGGTGGTTGGGGTGGAGGATGTGGTAGGTATCAATTTGTTACTGGGAGACTAGAGCCTGGGAGCACAAGTGGGAAGAACTATCTAGCAGCAAGTTTGGCCATACCAATTGCTAAGAAGTCATGGATTGGGAAAGTCCATAGGGTGGTAGGAGAGTTCAGTTTTAGAAGGAGCTGGGTGGCCAAGGCCATAATTGGGGGGCACAGGGGGATCTCTGATGGCATAATAGAACATATAAATTGTTAAGGGGGATGGAGTGGGAGAGTCCATATAGGGAAAGAGAGTAGGGTGAGAGAAAGCAACGCAGATACCATACATTGGAGACACAGATGTGGGAGAATATTTGAGGGCAAGAGATGGTCACAGAAGGGGTGTTAGGGGAAAGCTTGGGGACACACCAGCAACTCTGACTGCCCCATCCCCCGGTCTGACCCTCCCTAGGCCCTAGCTGCCTGCCGCACAGCCCAGATTGTGACCCAGTACTGTGTGGGCGCCAACTACACGTGGCTGCTGGTGGAGGGTGTCTACCTACACAGCCTCCTAGTGCTCGTGGGGAGCTCCGAGGAGGGCTACTTCCGTTGCTACCTGCTGCTTGGCTGGGGTGAGCCCCGCCCCCGCCCCTACTCAGCCCAGTGCTCCTCGGTTCCTCTGCTCCCCCAATTGCCCTACTGGTCTACCTCAGGGGGTCTCCTCCATTCAATAGGCTTCTGCCTCCCCACCCTGACAGAGGAATTCTGCGGGTCTTGGGCCTGGCGGGGCCGGTGCGCGCGCTGACAGCTGCGACGGGGGGGGCGGGGTTGGGGTCTGCACAGGGGCCCCCGCGCTTTTCGTCATTCCCTGGGTGATCGTGAGGTACCTGTACGAGAACACACAGTGAGTTGCGGGTGTCTGGGGTGGGGCCTGGGAGGTGGGCGGAGCTTTGAGGGACTTGGGCAGGTTGCAATGGAAACGTGGGCAGAGTCTGATGGTAACTTAGGGGTTGGGGGAAATGTGGATCGAGTCTAACGAAAGGGAAGCTTGAAAGGGTGTTGGAGCACTGCTGGCAAGGGGGATGGGATGAGGTCTTGAGCTTTAAAAAATGTGGGTGGGGTCTTAAGAAAGGGGGCGGAACCTGGAGAGTTAAAGTGCAAGATCCAGTGAGTCTAGACTGGTTTCCTATCTCTTCGCCCTATCCCGCCCCCTCAGGTGCTGGGAGCGAAATGAAGTCAAGGCCATTTGGTGGATCATACGCACTCCTATTCTCATGACCATCTTGGTAGGGTCGGCCCTGCCTCTTTCAAGCTGTCCTCTGGAATTTTTCATTGTGGGAGGTGGGGTTCCATGTCCTGCCCCCGTCAACGGGATCGCGGCTGGTTTCACTTCTGTCTCTTCCTGCAGATTAATTTCCTCATTTTTATCCGCATTCTGGGCATCCTTTTGTCCAAGCTGAGGACACGGCAGATGCGCTGCCCAGACTACAGGCTGAGGTGAGGGCCGGCAGTGGGAACAGAGGGGAAGGGGCCAGGTGCAAATTGGGGGCCCTGGGGCTGCATGACTACTGCTGCCCTTTCTCACCAGGCTGGCTCGCTCAACGTTGACGCTGGTGCCCCTCCTGGGAGTCCACGAAGTGGTGTTCGCTCCCGTGACAGAGGAACAGGCCCGGGGTGCCCTGCGCTTTGCCAAGCTCGGCTTTGAAATCTTCCTAAGTTCCTTCCAGGTGCCCAGGCAGGGTGTAGTAGCCACATTGTTCCACCAGGGGTCGCCCTTTCTAGAGGTCATGAGTAGGGTGACCAGATTTTATTTATTTATTTATTT